GGGAAGTCCTGAATCCCAGGTAAAACAGAGCAATAGAGCCCACAAAGAAGACCGCTAGACCCAATGTTTAGTCAATGGAAGCTACTTAAAGTTCTGATGTTTTTACTAGGGCTTTCCCTCTGTATCAACAGAGGAAGTACCACAAGACAGAAACATCAGAGACTGTGAAATGCACTAGAGATATTGTTAATGTTTTACTATTCTGATAGGTGACAGTACAAAAATCTTAAGATAGATAGAATATCAGAAGATTAATATTGTTTAAAATATTAAATAGTTACTTGGAGGCTGAAAATAATCTAAAATGGCTCTTATACTTAGAACAGGGTTACAGATTAAAAACAGGCAGCCCCTATCTAAAAACAAAGATGGCTTGTTGAAAAATTCCTAATTTACTGAGCAGATGTCTTTCGGCTGTCCATCAAAATACACATCCAATCCAAATTAATTTACCATATACTGATCCAATTCTCTCTCTCTCTAATGTACTGCCTTCTTTCACGTTGAATTCCAAGATATTTGATGAACTTTTTCTAAATCTAACCAGACCCTTGGAGATCTAGCCAACTGTCATTCAAGGCAGGAATTATGGAAAGTGAGAAGAAATAGGGTTCCATCCTATGATCCATGCAGTATGTGACTAAATAAGGCCATGCTAATGACTAGGAGGTCGCATCTACATGAGATGCTGACTGTGCATATATTACTGCACAGTCATTTAGTTCTTGTATAAACAAGTACTAAATGACTGTGCAGTAACTGGAGTTACTGTACAACCATGCCAAGGAATGGCTGTTTAGTGATGTTGACTGTGCAGTAGCTCGTGACTACTGCACTGTAGCCTCGCATCATGCTTCCTGCCATGTGATGCTACTGCACACTAGCCACGGGCTACTGCACAGTCAGCATCTTGTATAGATGCACCCAGAGCATAGCATTTACCTGATGAACTTTCTGTTGTTGCAGATGAAAATGACATAACTAAAGTGGGCTGTTATCCTCTGACACTTAAGGCACAGATTATGAACAAGTTTGCAAACCTCTGCTTTACAATTCATACTTGTAGCTATATAATCACTTGTTTTCTTCATTCAGAATGGGAATAGAAATAGAATAACTGGAATATGTTTAAAATAGTGTTAATATGCATTTATAGAAGTGGGGAAGAAGACAGAAAATGTGAACAGTACAACAAAAATCTAAAGGATTTATTTCACTAAATGTCACTTTAACACTAAAATTTATCCCATTCCAGTTTCTTTCTCTCCCTATTTCAAGTCTTTTTAAAAACATATTCAATGCATTTAATCTTGTTTTATTATCATTCAAACACGCACTCTTTTTTCCATTTATTAAATGTACATGTGCGATGTATGGAATCTACAAAATTTTATGTTTGCCTGATACTACTAGTCATTGTAGCTCATTAAATCTTTTAGCATCGGATACTGAGGATTATCTATTATTTTAAACTGCCATGTGAAAAATTAGGTTTCAGCTGCGCTTGTCTGCTGACTAAATGCAGAGAGCCTAATATAATCTGTTATTTGACTGAATTTTTGCATTTTGGAACATACTAAATGTTGAAAAGACTATGAGCTAACTTCATCCATGTGCAACACTACAGTTACTACCTGGTATAACCAAACTGATGTCAGTGAAATTACTCCAGAGGTATATTTGGCTAAGGTTTTGTAAATTTAATAATACGCTATTGCATTTTATGGATTTCTCTCTCTCACACACACCTACCTGACTTTATTTTAGCTTTCAGCCAGCTTTTTAAGCATTCTTGATGAACATACTGTAGGCTTCCCACACAACTGCATGGTTCTAGCAGTGGATTGGTTATAGAACCCCCCGCAATCTGACAGATACGACATTGGTCGCCCTCCTCTTCTGAATCTTCTTCCAGAAGACTAAAGACACAAATGAAAAAGTAAAGAATGCTTTTTCACCAACTTCTACAGTTGGATTGCATCTTTGAACTCTATATATTTGGGTATCTAAAAACATATACTTTGGTATCTAAACAGATTTCCTTAAAACTTTTCAACGTGTCAGGGACCTAAATTAATAATAGGCAATACTTCAGAATTACTACACATCTAAATGCTGTTAAAATGTAGAAGACAAAATCACCATTGTTTCTAAATTCTATGTATCTTTTTAAATTTTGAATCCATAATGGATTGTGTGTAACTCATAAATGATAAAATAAGCATTGGCCAGTGCTTTCACGTCTTGTGCTCTTTCTCTGCAGAACATATTAATGGAGTAAGTGGGCATGGCTACATGAGACACTGACTGTGCAATAGCTGAATAACACTGCACAGTAGTGCATCACAGCACCAACAGTGCTAATGTGCTACCGTGCAGTATTCTTAGGCTACTGTGCAGTAGCATTACTTAAAAGGCATTTGTTGGCACTACTGTGCAGTAACTCTGGTTACTGAACATTTATTTAGTACTTGATTATACAAATACTAAATAAATGTGCAGTAACTGCTGCGCAGTAGTGTCTCATGTAGCTGTGCCCAGTGGCCTCTATTGCACACATATATATATCTAATTAGAGTAAAACTTTAGAAAATGGACAGTCTCCAAGTATGCGCCTCTGGATGATTGGCTTTTTTCATAGGGTCAGGAAGAAACAAGCTCTGTGCCAGAGATGGAGAATTTCTGGCTGATTTGGAGGTTGGACAAGTTGGAGGTTGGAAAGCATGAGAAGCAATTATCCCCAAGACTCCCATTGCCTTCCTAGTCTGCCCTCACATCAAAACTCATTTCCTTCATTTGCAAAAACTCCTTTGGTCCAAAAATGTGCAGGGGGAAAGCAGGTCATATTAGTAAATCAGACTGGGGCCAAATACATGATGGAGGCAGCATAGAAAACAAAGGATGTCACAATCTACTTGGTGGGGGTAAAGGGACAATAGAGTAAGAATGTTGGACTTGGGTATGAAAAAGTAAGTGGTAAGAACCTGAGTGAGGCAGAGAAAGAGAATCTTTCTATTCAAAGGCAGTGGATATTGAGTTTTAACTGTATAAGAACAATTGAAAGAAATATAGACATTTATTAGCAAAAGGGTCCAAAAAGAGCAAATACAAGACAAGCTTAAATAACGAAATAGCAATGCAAATATCATCCTGAATTCCAAGTTCTCAATTTAGTTATATAATTCTAACCTTGGCATTAAAATGGCACAGAGAAATCATGGATACATATGAACCATATAATTACACATATTCCTTACCTATCCTTCAGTCTCTTAAGCTTCTCTGGGTCTGTTGAGGGTTTCTTTATTTCTTTTGAATGAAAGGGTGAATGAGAGGGTGTAATGTTGCTCATAGCATTATTTTGATTGTGTAGATCAGACATTGCCAGCAAAGCAAGTGATAACTGGTCATGCTGTATGCCAGCCATATAAAGATAGGCTGTGAAATCTGATTGAAATAAAATTGGGTTGGTAGAATCTAGAGATATAAAAGAACTTTGTGAATTTAATAAGTTCTCTTCATCATGTGAGGGAGCACTTGGAGATGTACTTTCTTCAGGTGGGTTGAGTATAGGTAAAGGGTCATAACTTTCCACAGCAGAAAAAGAACCCCTACTTCTTATAGGAGATAAAGGTCTATGAACATTAAACCTTGAAGTTCCATCCAAATCCAGCACTTGAGGAGGAACAGTTGTTGAGCTCAAATTTGCTGAGGCCTCAGCCCCATGTAGAGATCGTATTAATGATCTTGGAGTACTATATGCAGAATAAAATAATGGCTGATGACTTGTTGCCCTAGCAGAAGTAAGAAGGTCAGCATAACATCTCTGATTGCTTTCATACGATTGCCGTTCTCTGTTATAAACATCAGCACTTGCATTATTGAGATTCTCAGAAATAGATGTGCCATCTAGCTTGTTTTCAGTTTGTGAGTTTCTTGAACTAAGCGACAGAGTTTCATTTTCATTTTTATCAGAAGCCATATCTTCAAAAAAACATTGATAAGGAGCACAAGACTTTCCACTGTCCCTAGATTTTCTTTGCCCCGGTGAAAACTGCTCAACAGCTGAGTCTGTTATGCTGAGTTTTCTTAGTGGTTGATGGGAAGATTCAGTTCTTCTTGATAAAACATTTTTATCATCTCTAACTTCTTCAGAATTAAACTGTTTATCTTGAACTAAGGATGTCCGGTGAGGAAAGCTAGCTTGTTCTAGTGGAGTATGAGACTGGTTTAGACTGAAAGAAGTAAATTCTTCTTCTAGTAATTCTTCTTCTTCTTTTCTACTGTCATTGTCTTCATATGTATCTTCCATGTTGAAGCACAGCATAGAATAAATGTTCTCATCTCTGAATTTCAGAGGTGCCTTTTGAGTAGATGTGGGAGATGGACCATTGGATTGATGGGATAGAAACGAACCACTGGTTCCCTGAAATGTAGGTGCAGATGACTGAGCTGAAGATTGCTGAGCTTGTATAAAGACATTTTCCATATTCTTGTCTCTGTCTGGACCTTTCTGATCTAAATTTAGTTTGGAAGACTGGATTAAATTCCTTCTTTCCTGAGATTTCTTCTTATACTTAAAAGTATTTTCACTTGTCTGCTCTTTACCGTCTTTTTGGACTCCAAAATCTGCATTCCAAACAAAAGACAGTTTTAAGGATTTAATCTTTTTGTCTTTAGTTCTTAACACTTGCTCTGAATAGCATGTTTTGCTAACACCTGTTCTGGTATGGATGTTATGACACATTCAGTTATTGATAATTGTGGAACTACTGTACTTGTTAACAAAATTTGTAGACTTTATTCATCAACTTTCCTAGGAAGGACAGGAAATCAATATTGCTTTTCTGTATGGGCACCTGTAGGAGCATATGAAAGAAAGAAACAACTCAGGCTAAATGGTGTACTGGCACATGTAAAGGGACAGTTAGCATTTGCTTATCTTGCAGGATGGATACTAGCCCACCTACTCCTTGATGTGCTTAATAGGCAGTTACAGAAGGAAATACCTTCATGGCCACATCCAGATGAGTGCAGCTGTGCAGTATGTGGCGCCACAGACTTAGGGTCACCCCAGGATCTTATCAACACAGAGCTTGTCACAAGGGGGTCCTAAAGCATCTGATCACTCTTGGCACCAGATTAAGGAACAGAGCACATCTCATAGAACACAGCACCACCCTGACCTGCTTTAACTGACCCACTGTATTTCACAGCCCCTGGAAATTAAGGGCCCGGGCCCCTAGCTATCCCCAATGGTTCCTTGTCCATGATTGACCAAGTATGCCCCACTCCAGTTTCCCAGATCCGTAGAGGGCAATGGAGATAACAAATTTACCATACTGAGAGTCAGCAGGGTGAATGAGCCTGTCCAGTGCCGGGATTGTCTTATATGTTACAAGTTTTGTTGAGGAGTTCATGCTATCGGCAGCGGTGAGGGAAACAATGACCTCCTGTTCACCATCCTCTACTTTCTGGCCTGACATCTGCAAATGGCTGTGATGGTACTACAGGACCAGATAATAGCCAAGGTCATGGTCAGAAACTGGTGCCTAGAAAACTTCCAGTCAGAGTAAGGCCCATGCCCACACAAATATGAACATGCTGACTTCTCTGGTAGAGGTCAGCCACTTCTGGGTCACAGGGACAGGCAATGGAGAGAGGAAAAGTAGATGTACCACTGTAAGTCCTTGGCCATGGTCAGGCAGGGGATCAAGGAATCATAGTGCATTATTATATGGCTTCCAGGCAGCATGCAAAGGCTAAGGAACATGATGTGATCATAGCTGAGCATATGAACGAGAAACTCAGGAAGGTATGAGGGTCAAGAAGGGTCTATGGATCACCTCATGTCTGACTTGAACCTGCAGACAGAGGGGATTGTAGATGCTCTCCATGTCACCCCACAATTTAACACACAAGTAGAATCACCCTGTAGCCCCTGGGGACACATGTTGACACTAGCTTTGCTGTTCTCCAGGGGTCCTCCACTGCAGGGTGGGAGCAAGCACCACTGAACCATCAGGAAGGAGTATCCATGGCCTGAACAGTCATCCAGTGGTGGTTGCCACCACCTGGAGATATGTGACATGCCTATGTTTTGGCCCTGCCTGATCCACAGTATGTTTGTATTTGTTGGAGAGTATATACACCCATATAGTTTTACAAGGTGATTACGTTTTTTAACATTACATTTGTTTGCTTCTTCAATTGACCTCCCTTTTTCATATTTCTCTTGTACTGTTTAATAAAAGTTCTGCCTGTTGTCAAAACTTTGGCCATGGTATTCACTGTACATATAGGGCAGGAACGTTCAGGGGTATAAAAACTTTCAAAAAATTACTACTTGATGCACCATCTTCCTGTCCCAACACCAGCTGCATCTCTGTGTTTCCCTCCTTCTCTCCCTTCCACCTAGGAACTAGCTTCCACAGCCCAGAGCTGATCAAAAATGCAGGCTGGGGAGGAGCTATGCAGAGCTGGCTCAAGCTGTTCCTGCTTCCCTATTTCCTTTCCTGCTCCGTCCATCCAGGGTCACAGGAGCAGGGTCCAGATAAGCCCACAGCCTCACAAAGTTCAAGCTTTCATTCCCTCCTTCCACATCCTTGGGTGCACAGTTCAGCAGTTTTCTGAACATTCCCTCCCCCCCAGCACACCCACCTTGGACACTCCCCTCGGCTGAACATTCCCTCACCCCCAGCACACCCACCTTGGACACTCCCCTCCAATGTCCCTTGCCTGCTCTGAAAACATTCACACAAGAGCACAGGTTCAATTGACAGTGTTTACTGTGTACATGAGATCAGTCTATGATTAACCATTCCAGCCTTCAGCCTGGAGACTGACAAAGTGATCAGCCAGCATGTCTTGCAAATGCAGTGCCAGGTGACCAGCCTCCATTTGAGAACTTGCAGGCATGGCTCCTGTAGAAGCTAGGGGTTACTCCACTGTTGACTGGCATGCTTTGGGCAGGGGCTCCCTGTTGGCCTCTCATGAGCTTCCATATAACAATGGCAATGTACTTCTGCATGGATAAAGGCCCCCACATCACTGTTGTCTGCCACTGTATGCATGTATGGGGCAATCTTAGTGCAGATCACCATGAAGGAGCCCCTGCACATGCAGAAGTTCATGAGCAATTGCTCATCATCCCAGATGGCCATGACAATCCACTCCCACCAGTCACAGTCTCCCTGGCCCAGAAACACTGCTTTACAATTTAGAGACACTCCCACATCTGCCCATCCCCAATGTGCTGACCTGCGACCAAAACATCTTCAGGGCAGCAGCTGCCATCACAGATTAGGAACTTTGGATAGCTATGGACTGCCCACTGTTTGTCAGCAAGCACACACATGAGCATCTCCCATGCATGTGCTGCTTCCTCACTCTTGGCACAAATGGAAATAGTCACAGCAGCCATCAAAGCATGCCAGTGTCACCTTTTCCACTCAGACTCATTTACAAATTCATAATGCTGGGCCAGTGCAGTCTGCAAGGCACCAACTATGTGCAGATCCATGGTGGCCAATGGTAGTGGAAACTCCAATTCACAGGCAATGGTGGCAGCACAAATGCAGTGGAAATAAGGTGGATAGTCAAGGGCACAAGTCATGCAACGAATCACACCAAAATTCCTCCCACAAAAATGTCACTACCCACAATCTGAGCATTCAGTAAGTCATTTGTTCAGTGCTGGCAGTCAGGGGAACCTGCTAACACTTAGCCAGAGCAAGGCATCCTGGGATGTATGCTCCCTTGAGCCACCTGTTGACAGAAAATAAGTAGTGCATTCAACCACTCTAAACCTGACTGGAAGGTCAAAGTGTGGTCAATTCTGCAAATTCTCCATTCTTTTGGAGAAGTCATGACATAACCAGTCCCAGAACAAATGTGACTTCTGTTTGTAGCCTATATTTTTAATGGCCTCTTCACTTAATTGGGGCAGCTGCTGAATTGAGAAAATAGGTTGCACCCAATTTAGGAAAATGGATACATTTTTCTAAAGCTATCCATTTTAAGGTTATTCTTTTATTTAGTGTGTGGCTTTTATGTACCTTCTTAGGAAGGAATCATCAAATGAAAACATGATCAAATTGAATGGACTGGATGCTCATTTGCACTAAGGACTTGCAAACTGGAAGTGTAAATGGGCCTTAAAGTGGATACAAACACTAGTTCAAAGTCCCTCTTTGATGTTGGTGTACAAATGAGAATGAGATCTGTAAAAGTTTAGCAACACAAAGGGCACATCTACACAAGACGTTTAGTGTGCAGTTGACTAATGAACTGTACAATAAACGTCTCTGCATGTGCATGTGCACCCCTATTGGGGTGCACAAAACTAATAAATTCCACAGCAGGGCAATACTTGTATTTACAAGTACTCCACTATAAATACAAATACTACCCTGCTGCAGAGCTTTTCTGTACACAGCAGCACACATTTAGATTCTGACCTGGCTGGCTGGGGCATGAGGGTGCTTCTGTGTGAGGGCTGCCTGCCAGCTAGCCCCATGCTGAAGCACCTTTGTGCCCCAGCCAGCTCCTCTGCAGCACATTGAGCTGTGATTTGGCTCAATGTGCTGCAGCAGTCTGGGCATGTATGTAAATGGCGCACTCAGAAACTTGCCCGGAGTTTGCAGAGCAATAAGCTCTGCCGTTTATTGCTGCATACTAATGGCATGTGCAGACACACCCAAATAGTCAGTTCTGTATCTCTACAGGAAGAGGAAAATTAAAGGAAAGAGCTTTTCTCACCAAACCGTCTGGTAACTTTTGTCTTTGCCTGAAGCAATGAGGTCATTTTGTCTCTGTCTTCCAATTTTCGTATATTCTGTATATCTGAGCTTCCCAATGATCCTCTTTGGTTTTCTCTCTTTCCCCTTGAAAATGACTGCTTCTGGGAAGCTGTTAAGTGAAAAACATTTTCATTAATTTATATTTTCAGGGAATGAGCTTCCATTAAAATTAGTGTTGCTTAAAAGAACCTAAGGTCAAGTGTCTTCAAGGTCTGCCTCAGCAAAGTAAGAAACTACATCAAACTGATTTTTCTTTTGGCAAGGCCTTGTCATTTATGCTCAGTCAAAATACAATTGGAAAAAAATTCCCCATATTTCAGAAAGAATCTGCATAACAATTTATTCCTGTAAAACATGCATAATATTAACATTTTTGGATGTATTGTGAAAATCTGTGAATACATTTTGGGGGTTATCCAAACTCAATTTTTATATGCTAAATGTGAAATTCTAATCCCTGTTTTGGGTTTTGTTCAATAAATAAACATAAGTAGAGCTGCTTGAAAACTTTCAAATTTTAAAATTATTTTTCTACTGACCATCTCTACTCAAAAGAAAACATTCAAAGCAATAAACATTTCCATAAATTTCTGAAAGCTAGTGAAACCAAGTGCTGTCCTATCCAGTGATAACTCTTACTTGACGTTCTACTAAAAGCTGGTAGCTGATCTTTCCTCATTAAGCCCGTGGTCTAGTTTGATAGTCTGCCTTAACATTCATAGGGCAGCTATTTGCAAAAATAAACTAGGGATTTAACTAACAGAGAAATTGTGGTCCAAATTTTCAAGAACTCAAGGGACAGATTTTTAAGGCCTCTGACCCACACAACAGGGTTTTCCAAAAATACTGTTTCTATTTATATGTCCAAATTACGACCAGAACTTCCAAAGATCTTATTGTCCAATTCACACCTGACCTGCTGGGCTCTTTCATAAATCTAGTCCTTTATTTAGGTACATGAGAAGCTAAGATCCGATTGTGTGTGCTGAGCTCTTTTAAAGTATGCCCCAATTGACTTTTCTTCCCAATGAAAATGTTGACAAGATTTGTCAGTCAGCAAAGTGTTAGGAAATTTGAGACGTAACTATTTATCTCAATAAATGGACAACTCCAGCTCAAAATACTGCTACATCCTAAACAGCAAATTGTCACTGTTTTATTTTTAATAAGGTTCTCAAACATAATTTACCCTCATCTAAAAGAGAATAAATGCCAAATATCAATTTTTCTGATCTGAAAGTGTCATGTAGAAAGGGACCTGAATCAAAATTCTGCATTTAAATAATTCCAAACTGAACTGCATCACAATACTATTCCAGCTAAAGATGCTGATTTCCATGAGCCCCTATCACCCACCTACTCTCCCAGCCCTGTTGACAGCTGCCCACATGGCCCCAGCTCCCAGTTTTTTAAAAAACAAACAAACCCTGCACTCACTGGCTGCTGCAGTGGCCGTTGGGGCTTCTGGGGGCTCATGGCAGAGCCCCCACCAAGCAGCACGGTGCAGTGGGGGGCAGTGGGGATCGCCTCCCTCCCCCCTCCACCTGGCAGGAGCCACTGTGTGGGACTTAAAAAAAATTTTTTTTTTAAAGAGCCAACACCGGGGTTGGGCAGGACAGCCATGGGGGGGGGCGGTGCTGGGAGATCAGGCAGGGGATGGGGGCTCATGGCAGAGCCCCTCACACAGCATGGGGCAGTGTGGGGCAGCAGGGATTGCACCCCTCCCCTCCGGCAACAGCCAGTGAGTGGGGGCTTTTTTCTTTTTTTTTTTTAAGAACTGGGAGCTGGAGCTGGGAGAGGGGGCGAGGGATGGGGGCTCATGACAGAGCACCACACACAGTGTGGGGCAGTTGGGATTGCCCCCCTCCCCACCTGGCAGCAGCCAGTGAGTGCTGAGGTGTTTTTTTTAAAGAGCCGGGGAGGCTGGGGCCAGGGAGGGCAGCCATTGACGGGGCTGAGATAGTGAGCAGAGGATGGGGCCTGTTTGATTCACAGATCTGGCTGATTCAATGGCAGCCAAATCTCTGAATCAGATTCAGCTGAATTGATTTGGGACAGTGATTCGAATCAGCAAATCAAATCACTGTCCCCCAAATCAGCTGAATCCAAATCTGAAGCAAACACTAGCCGTTTCGCACAGGCCTGCTGGGTATCTCCTGAGTAAACAAACAAAAATCTACAGTTTGAGTTCATGAGACATTCCTAGGAGTCCTGGCACTGATAGCAGAAAAAAACAACTTTTTTTCCCCACGTGTCAGTAGGATATAACTGTGCTTTTCCATCTTGGAAAGAAAAGGGTTTTTACCTAAGATTTGCAACACAAAAGCCCAAAGTTTATCAGTTCTCTCCTCAAGAGGGACATTTCACTGAGCCACTGTCATAAAAGGCCAGTTCCAGGCACACACGGATTTTTAAAAAGGATTTTTTTTAAATTACAAAACATATATAGCTATGGGAACTCCTGGCCTACAGTATTAAATACTACTTTGTCCAGTAGCTGTGTTGCTAGAAATTGTAATGGGTAGGTCCAAAAGATAAGTCAGAAACATCATCAACTATTTCTTTTCAACTGAAAAAACAAATTTGTAACATAACAGCTACATATCAGCTACATACCTTAAAACTGCTAGTCACCCAAAGACCAAGTTTCATCCAAGATACAACTGATTTCCTGCGAAAACTTAAAAAACATAGACCGCCCTCCCAGCAATACCCTCCTAGCCACCATGAATGGTGCATCCCACACCAGGATGGCATACAAGCCTGCCTCAGATATCTACAAGAACGAGATTACAACTCAGTAGTACAGACCTCAGGATATCACTGAACTCATGTACTTTATCCTCACACACAACAACTTCAGTTTCAACAACCAACACTTCCTCCAGATTATGGGCACAGCTATTGGCACCAAATGGCCCCACAATATGCCAACCTTTTTACGGCCCACCTAGAAGAAGACTTCCTCATGAAGTGCACCATCAAACCCTTAATATACCTGGGATACATAGATGATACCTTTGGATCGAAACCCTGCAGTCTCTGATCGATTTCCACCAAAAATTCAGCAATCATCACCCCTCCATCAGACTCTTACTTGAATACTCTAACACCAGCATTTCCTTTTTGGACACCATGATCAATATCCAAGATGGTAACATTCAAACCACCATATATAAGAAACCCACAGACCAACATACATACCTACACAGACCCAGCAATCACCCCAAACACACCAAGAAAGCTGTACTATACAGCAAAGCTCTCCAATACCACTGAATTTGCAGTGAGGAGAATACCCATGACCAACACCTCAGTAATCTCAAAAGGGCCTTCAGCCAACAAGAACACTCCTCCAGAGAGATAGATCACACTTTTGAAAGAACCACCCAGATACCACGTGAAAATGTACTGCAGTATAAAAAGAAAATCCCCACAAATCGCACACCTTTACTTACCACATATCACCCTTCCCTGGAACCTACACAGAAAATCATGAAACAACTGCAACCCATACTAGAAGAAGACCCAATTCTTAAAGAGAGCTTTCCAGAGCCACTCATCCTAGCCTTCAAACAAGCATCAAGCCTCGCAAACCTCATCACCAGAAGCAAACTCCCTATGACCCAAACCACATAGACAAATGGATCTAGACAGTGAGAGGACAAGAATGCAAAACCTGTCAACATATCTCCACCACCCCCACTATAACTATACCCTACAACAGAACCTTCACCATTCCTGGATCTTACAGCTGCACCTCCAGAATTGTTATATATCTCATCCAGTGCACCAAATGCTCTGAGGGAGAATATGTTGGAGAAACCAAACAACAACTGTGCATCAGAATGAATGCACATCGAAAATCTATCAAAGACAAGAATACCCAGCTACCTGTGGGTACACACTTCTCACAGGACAATCACTCCCTTTTCGATCTCTCAGTTCTAATCCTCAAAGGGAACTTACAAAACACCTTATGTAGACAAGCCTATGAACGTCACTTCATAAATATACTGGATACAAAAAATCATGGACTAAATACAGACATTGTTTTTATGACAAATTACAACCTGCCTGACACCTGATTCATCAAGCACCTGCCTGACAACCTCTTTTCTATCTTGTAGTCTATCACTGCACTGTCTCCCTTCAGCCTTTTTCTCCCTGCTCTCTTCCCCCTCCCCCTCCCCCCTCCTTCCGCTCCCCCCTCTGCTTCAGCTCTCTGCCTCACCTTTTGTCTTTCTAATTCTACCTATTTACATTTTCACTGACATCCTGCCACACTTTTAGCTTCTTTCATTTCTTGGAGTCTCAGAACAGCAGAGATTCCCCATGCTTGAAGAAAGGTGACTGCGTCTGAAAGCTTGCCAAGAAATTTTTTTCCAACTACTCAGTTGGTCTAATACAAGATATCACAATTACTCAAAGAACCTGCCTAGCATAACAGCAATGATTTATAGTATCCCAGAGTAATAGGCAGCTCTTGCTGTATAAATAAAGGGCTCAGATGGTTCACCTTGCTGAGTATGCTGGTGATATTTGTAGTTTTATGTGCCCAGGGGAGCTCTTAATTAAGACATAATTATGTACCATAAATATTTTTTATTTCAGAACACAAGAGATGGGATTTTCAATTTTAGGCACTTTAATGTCTAATAAGTAAGCAAGATTCTAATGTAAACATTTAGTGAGCTTTTTAATTTGTCCCAGATTTAATGTGAAGCTAAATTCAATTTCAGTAGGTGCTTTGGGGAAAGCCTGCTGCTTATGACAGCCCTCCAGGGCACTATGCCATAGAACTCTCTGCACGTTAACATTTGTACACAAAAGCATATGTTAAAAGAACATCTTGACTTCTAAGTCCTCCAGTTACTAAGTTTAAAGCACACCAGATAAGGAATTCAGAAATCTCATGAATCTCACAAGAGGAATGGGAGTCCTTCCCTCTAACTGAATGGAAAAAGGCAAACAGACAAGATGAAATCACTGCAAATTATTTTCACTGTATCATCTGTGGCATCATCCTGTAAGCAAACCACAATAGCAAGGAGGGAAAAGGTACAAAGTGCTCATAACAGTCACAAAGAACAGGTGGATGACACCATA